CTCCCAAATTAAAATAAAACCACAAACACTTGACACTGGCCCAATCCGCTGTGGGAGAGCCATAAACAAGAAATAGAATATATTAAAATTATCATACAATGAAAAACTACCTTAAGTGAATTGTTAATTCAAGTAAGGAACGTAAAGATTCTTAAACCGTAATAAAGTATTTAAACCATAATACGTAGTAAATCTTACTTATATTATAAATGCGAAAGTTTAGATGGATGTTTGTTAGAGTTTGTAGCCTAAACTACACAACGGATTTTGATGAAATTCGGTATATATACAGAGAATAATCTGGAAGAACACTTAGGCTACTCTCTTTTGTTTGTGTTTTATTAATTCCATGCGGACAGAGTCGCGAGCGAAAGCTAGTATTTATTAAAAAAATGAGGAAAGAAATAGAGAGACACCAACTAAACCTGTAAGCTGTAAAAAACATTTAACTGTAACAAGATATATGGTACAGTTAAATATTTTTTAAACCACTGTGGCGGATAGTATACCGATAACAACCACTCAAGGTAGAAAGGGGTTTAAGATAATCTATAATATAAAACCAACAATAAAAAGTATCACATTACAACTGACTTCGAACTTAAGATTTTAATGTAAATGTAAGTTTTAACATATAAATGAAGAAATAAAAAAAAACACCTAATCCACAAGTCACTGACCCCAAAAAAAAACGTTAGGGAGAAGGAGAGCATAGCACCATCCATTAATAAAAAAAAAACAATCTTTGGACATTTCTCTATAGTATTAAATAAAGTTATAATAGGTACCTGCGCTGAGCAATGCTGCGGACAGATAGTGTACTGTGAAGGCGTGCGTGAGTCGCTCCACCGAGGTGACCATCCCGCGTTGCCGGAACGCCGCCAGTCGCAGCGGACTCTGGTCCAACGCGATATACATGTGCGCCTGCAACACATAAACCATCTAAGTATACGAAACTATGAATTAATTCATAACTAAAATAAATAACATGTTATATATCTATACTTTTATACTTATTTAATAAAAGAAAGATTTGTATTTTTCGATTTTTGAATATTAGTTAACTCAAAAATGACTGCGCTGATTTAAAAAATCACCAGTAAAAAGTTATGGCTTTTTAAACTTACATGTGATAATATACTGAGTAACACAAGCTACACTTTTTATTATTTTGTAATTCCACGTGGACGAAGTCGGGAGTAACAACTAGTATAATATAATTTACATCCACTTATACCAGACGAAAGGAGAACATATTAACATATACATAACTAGCTTTCGCCCGCGACTACGTCTGAGTTAAATTAAAAAAAATAATCAAACATAGCTCATATTACACTGACAACGTAGCTTTTTAATGGCGAAATATTTTTTTTTAAATCGGCCCAGTAGATTTTCAGTTATTTCATTACAATCAAACAAAGTTTTCCTCTTTATAATATTAGTATAGATAAACAAATAATCTTATTACAAAATAAATGTGCGTATGATAACAATAAAATTGTTGAGAAACGAGGTGATGTGATGATGTGTGATGTGGAAGGTATCGAACGGTTTCATATTTTACGATTTGATTGAGACACGTTCCTTTTTATAAGTCAATAAATTCGATGAATGTGAATAGATTGAAGAGAAATGTTTCCAGTATACCCTGTTTATTTAAATATTAAATAAAAAGTTAGTACTCACAGCGGTATGCAGCGTGAGCAACAGATCTATAGGCATGACGGTGAGCGTGCGCAGCCGCAGGGGGCGCTGCAGGA